GTGGCTCAGTTGATTAAGTGGCTGGCTTTGGCTCAGGTAATGATCTCACAGTTTGTGGGTTTGAGCCCTGCTTCAGCTTCTGTGCTGACAGCCCAGAGCCTGGAGCCTGCTTTGGATTATGTGTGTGTGTCTCTCTCTCTGCCCCTCCCCTGCTCATGCTGTCTTTCTCTCTCTCTCAAAGTAATAAATAAACATTATTTTTTTTTAATTTAAAAGCAATGACAGAAATCACAAAGGGGACAGTCGATTTGACTACATACAAATGCAAAAATCTGTTAAACAAGACACACAACTAGGTCAGCATTTGCTAATGTGAATTTGTAAAAATAATATACAAAAATTGATATTTGTATAAAGAATCCATGTAAATTAATAAGAAAAATAGGAAGGCACTAAGAAATGGACAAAGGACTCAACACACTGTCAGAAGAGGAAATGCACAGGGGAAATAATCAAATGGATAAATGCTCAAATTCCAGGTCATCAAAGAAATGGGTATACAAGCAATGAGATACTTTTTTTCCCCTGGCTAAATCAGCCTCAGAACAAACCAAACCACACACACACACACACACACACACACACACACACACACACCCATCTTTTTTTTAAATAATCTGATAATAAAGGAAGAAGCTGGGGGCACGTGGGTGGCTCAGTCGGTTAAGTTCTGGACTTCAGCTCAGGTCATGATCTCACGGTTCGTGGGTTCAAGCCCTGGCCAGGTTCTGTGCTGACAACTTGGAGCCTGGAGCCTGCTTCAGATTTTGTGTCTCCTTCTCTCTCTGCCCATTCCCTGCTCACACTCTCTCTCTCTCTCTCTCTCTCTCTCTCTCTCTAAAAAATAAATAAACATTAAATTAAAAAAAAAAAATAAAGGAAGAAGCTGGTGAAATGGAGATATGTATACATTGCTGGCAGGACTGGTAATTAATTCAGCTTTTCTAGAAAATGACCTGACAATATGCATTGGATCCTTCAATAGTTTACCACTTTGTCCAATAACAATCCTAACTAACAGAAAGGATTTTCTTTTTTTTTTTTTTTAAGTTTTCTTAATGTTTGTTTATTTTTGAGAGACAAAGAGACAGAGAGTGGGGGAGGGGCAGAGAGAGAGGGAGACAGAATCTGAAGCAGGCTCCAGGCTCTGGGCTGTCTGCCCAGAGCCCGACATGCGGCTCGAACCCACAAACTGTGAGATCATGACCTGAGCTGAAGTCAGACGCTTAAATGACTGAGCCACCCAGGTGCCCAACAGAAAGGATTTTCAACTTAAAGTTATGTGTGCATTGTTAATAGGAAAATTGGAAACAATTTTTCCAGAAACCACAGTGCTTAATGTGGTTGATGAAGAGTTTATAATGACACAGAAAAAAAAATACCGTGGAACAATTTGGCAAAGATGAGACCACGTTATATATGCCATATGCTTCCAGAATAGACAACAAAGTCCATTCAATAAAAGGAAGCCCAGGCAAGGAATATGTTCCCAACTTTTCCCAGTCTCCGAGAAGTGGGGAAAGTCGTATTTTTAAAATGCCACAAGTAACAAGTCGCCTTCAAAGAGAAGCCTTTACTTAACAGCACTTATAGGCATTTCCCTTGGGCCGGGCCTGTTCCAAGGGCTTTGTAAATATTAGTTCAGTACTGTCCAGTAGATAAATAATGAAAGCCACATGGGTAACTTTAATTTTTTTTTTTTTTAATTTATTTGAGGGAGAGAAGGGTGGGGGGAGAGACAGAGAGAGTGAGAAAATCTTAAGCAGTGTCCACACCCAGTGCAGAGTCCTTCTCGGGGCTCAATCTCACAATCATGAGATGGTGACCTGAGCCAAAATCAAGAGTGGGACGCTTAACCGACTGAGCCACCCAGACACCCTCACAAAGGTAACTTCAAATTCTCTAGCAGCCATGTTAAAAAAAAATCTCATTTTAATAATGCTTTATTTAACACAGGGTAGCCAAAATATTATCATTTTGTCACCTGTAAACACGATCCATAAAGAAGATAATTATCTCATTAAAAAATTAATAGTGAGATATCTTGCATTTTTTTTGTACAAAGCCTCTGAAATACAGTGTGTATTTAGTATTTCAGCTTAGTATGTAGTATTTCATTTCAACTCTGACCAGCCACATTTCAAACGCTCAATGAGCCACATGTGGTGTTTTAGATTGAATTGTGTCCCCTCCCAAATTCATATGCCGAAGCCCTAATCCTCAGTATCTCAGAATGTGGCCTTACCTGGAAACAGGGTCATTGCATATGTAATTAGTTTAGATGAGGTCATACTGGAGAAGGATGGGCCCCTATTTCACTGTGACTGGTGTCCTTAACAAGAGGGGGAATTTGGATACTGACATACCCACGGGGAGAATACCGTGTGAGGGTGAAGACAGAGATTGGGGTGATGCTTCCACAAGCCAAGAAATGCCAAAGATTGTGGGGAAACCATCAGAAGCCAGGGGAGATGCAGGGAACAGATTCTCCCTCAGCCCTCGGAATGAAGCCTGCTGACATTTTAATCTTGGACTTGCAGCCTCCAGAACTGTGAGAGAATAAATGTTGTTGCATAAGCCACTCAGTTTGGGGTGCTTTATTAGGGCAATCCTAGCAAACTACCACAGGTGGTTAGTGGTTGCCTTCTTGAACAGTGCGGGGTTGGTTCATGTGGTCCTCCTGGCACATTCTGAGATTGGCACTGTGATCACCCCCCTTAGGGACCAGGAAACTGAAGCTCAAGGAGCCTCTGAGGTCTCAGAGCCAGCAAGCAGCAAAGCCAGGCAGGCTGGTGCCGGTCCAGGCACTCATCGCCCATGTCGTGTCCTTCTGCCTGCCGAGCTCCGTGCTTCCAGGTTACCCTCAAGTCCTGTCATGCTAACAGGGGCAGATGTCCTCCCCCTGACCCTGTAGCACTATGCCACCTCCTCAAACGTCATCTACTGGCTGGTTGTGGAGTACTTTCATTCTTTTTTTTTTTTTTTTAAGAATTTTCATATTCTTTATTCATATATAATATATTTAAGTTTATTTATTTACTTAGAGAGAGAGAGCAGGGGAGGGGCAGAGAGAGAATCCCAAGCAGGCTTCGCACTGACAGTGCCGAGCCGGACTTGGGGCTGGAACCCCCAAACCGTGAGATCGTGACCCGAAATCAAGAGTCAGACGCTGAACCCACTTAGCCACCCAGACGCCCTGGAGGACTTTCATTCTAACCATCCAGTGCTTTGAGGGACAGATACTTCCCCTCTTCCATGGTGTGCCTGTCTCCCCCTGCCTTCTCAAGCTCATTCCCGTGGTCCCCCCTGACCCATGGGCTGAGAAGCTAAACCACAATGGTGGTATCATCATGGTATGTAACCCGAATCCCACACTTCCTGACCACTCACTGCACTTCCTCTCCTGCCCACCTTCTGGGTGCTCTGGAAACTCCTGGCATCTCTCAGGGGCCATAAGTGCTCTGCTTGCAGTCCTAATTCAAGCCTAAAACCTACCAACTGAAGGAAGTTCTGTGGGAGTGAATGGCATCTCTGTTGTTGGAGTGGGATCATTCTTTGCAGGAGCCCCTGCCTGCTCTGCCCCTCCACATCATGGCTAAATCAGTCCTACCCGTCAGACCTGTTGGCTGGACAGATGCCACTGAATGTCTCTCCAAATATGTAGGATGTGGCTTGGGTTACCCTAGGTGCAGAGTTTGGAAAGGAGTATCTACCTGACACAGATGCCCAGGGCAGGTGTGGCCTCATGCCTGAGCCTGCTTGGGAAGTGGAGATTAGGCTTTACAGCAGCTGGGGGAAAGTTCTGCTGGCTCCCACCACCAACTCAGGATGGCCCCAGGAAAAGGTGGGGTCTGGTGTGGCCACATATCCTCTACGCTCTAACTCTAAGAAGGGAGGTAGTCACAAGGGTCTGGGAGAGGGAGGGGTGGGCAGTGGGAGCCTGACGAACAACCCTAAAGACCTGGGACCAGGGAGGAAAAACATGGCTTAGGGGTCTGGGACCACAACTGCATTTCTATCTTTCTTCCCTCACAAAAGC